GAGCAGTTCCCAGTAGTTCTCCAGCCTACACAAGATAGTAACGCCCACAGTGGCCCTGGAGCCCCCTCCAGCTTTGGGGCTGTCTTCTAAGGAGGCTCACTTGCTGAGCAAGGTAGGAGAGGACTCCTGTCGACTTCCTCCAGAGAGTGAGCACAGCTCCCCACCCCCAACAGGAAGGCAGTGTAGGCATCTCTCTTACAAAGGTGCCCTGAGAGTCTAACAGCCTTGGCCTTGCGTGTCCCCAGGCCCTTCTCTGCAGTTTGCCCGGAGACAGGTTGCCTTATCCCAGTCATCCTATATTCTCTTCTCTGCCCTGGACAGGTGCTGAGCTGGGCCAGTGGGTATCTTCAGACAGCCTCTGCTAATGAGCTGTGTTGTCTTGGCAGGTAGACAGCTCTTCCTTGACCCCCTTCAGGAAACGCAAGACATGGGCCAACCTGCACTGCTTCTGAGAAGCAGAACCAACAATCAACGGCCCCTCAATGTTCACCCAGCTGGGACTTCTCTGCTCCCTGAGGTGGAGCCTCAGGGACCTCCAGGTAGAGTGGCAAAGACCCAGGCTATTGGGAAGTGGGCTCCTAGGAAGCTTTCCTACCTTCATTCTGGGAGCAAGAGAGTACTTAGGAAGGGTAGCTGTTTAAGACCATGGAGGTTGCAGGGGGCAAATGCAGCTTGGTCTGGACTCTCTACCTTTCTTCATCATATCATGGTATTTATTGAAGCTGACCAGGATCCTGACCTTAAGCCCAGAGGTGTTCACTGACCGCTTCTTCCGGAGGGCTCTTGGTGAGTTGACGGGGATTTGAGTGTGAGGCTGACGTGGAGTCGCGGACATAGAAAGATCCCTGGGATGACTGAATCCCAGTCATAGCAGGGGACCATGAAATCCTCACAGAGCACAAGAGGAGCCAGATTCCAGCAGCCCCATACACCAGGGCGTGCAACTGCTCTGCTCTCTGCCAGCCTCCGGGTAAGAATGAAATTGACATGGGGTGGGTAGAGGTGGGTGGCTCCTGGGATTCCTGTCACCTGCCTGCCTGCATCCCTTTCCCTCCTCCCCCTCCTTCTCTCCAGGTCTGGCTCTGCTTCCTTGAACCCATCTGCAGATTCACGCCCCAGCCCCCGGCCCTGGACAGGCTGCATCTCCATACAACCCTTCCACAGCTGTCTCCTTTGGATCTTTTTGCGGTCTGGGCTTGCTGTTCTCTAGACAGTAGTCAGGAAGCCCTTACCCCAAAAAGTATCTACGGGAGGCGTGGTCTACGTGGGGGGGGACCCCCCAAGGGCTCCAGGTGAGTCATATCAAACTCAAGAAGATCGGCTGAATCTTGGGTGACCACAGGTCAAGTCCTAAAGCGATGCTTCTCCACCGTCCTAATGCTGTGAATGAACCTTTAGTACAGCTCCTCACGTTGTGATAACCCTCCAAAAACAGAATGTTTTTTCGTTGCTACTGCATAACTGTAATTTTGCTTCTGTTATGAATTGTAATGTATATATCTGACATGCGTGATACCTGATTTGCGACCCCCAAAGGGGTTGTGACCCACAGGTTGAGAGACGCTGCCCTAAGGCTTTCTGTGCTGTAGTCACCTCCTCAAGCCTTTAATCCTTGCCTGGTAGCCAGGGTTTAGGGGGCGTGACTCCAGTCTAAGCCAGAGAAGACCACTTGGGTGGCTGTTGCGGCCACTTATGGGCACTCCTGGCAGAACTCGGTGTGTTCAGCCCTGCCTGTGTGTGCATCGAGTAGACATGAGATCCAAGACAGGCCTGGCTGATGAAGCCCTGTGCCTGGGAACGTCACAGTTGATCGGATCCATCCTAGCAGCTGTGTGATGCGAAGATGGTGAGCTTCTGGCCAGGATGAGGTGTCTGCCACCTACCCTCCTTCCCTCAAATAAAATCCTTGACTGCTCAGGGGAACCGAGTGGATACCATTACTTACCGCTGATTCGGAACCCTCTAGAGGGAGGGGGGGATCGCGCACGCTGGAGAAAAGGGGCCCACTGGGGGAAATCTAAGTCACTGTCCGTAGAGGGGGCCACTTGGGTGCATTGAGGAGGTCCACAGGCAAGGGTTGGATTAAAATCCAGGGGAACTTTCTAAAGGCGAGTGCCGCGTTGGGATCAAGAGCGGAGGACCGACATAACGCGGATTTAAAGTCACCGGGGCCTCAGTTTCCGAAGGTGGTGAGGATTAGGTAATGACAGTTGCAGGTGGCTTCTGCCAGTTTGACAGAGTTGGAGATGCCTCTGCAGCTGTGGTGAGGTCACAGCAGGTCAGAGGTGGCCACACCATCTCATTCCCCTCTTCCCCCATCCCAGGAGTCGGGGGCAGCCTAAGGCGAGGAGTACTGTGTCAATCTCATTGTCAACAAAGCCCCTAGCAGGTTCCATCCCTGGGCAGAGGCCACTGGAGGCAAATCTAAGGAGACATGTGAGCTGTGAGCAGGTGTGTGAACCTCTCTGATTTCAAAGGTGCCAAGGGATCCTGAGTGGGGCTGGGAGTGCCTTGTGGCTGTTTAGGAAGGAGAGCTGAGTTCACAGGTCAGAAGTAGGCGTGTGGAGCAAATGCCCCACTTGGAGACAGGCAGACATCAGCGAAGAAAGAAAGAACGCCGACGGGCCGTCTTACAGGGCTGACTCATCTTGGGACCACAGGTCCTGATGAAGCCTTACCAATTCTGACCCCAAACAAAGCTTGTTTGCTAGGCCACCAGCCCCAGCGTGCGGGTGGGAACGGTGTACGTGGCTCAAGGGCGGCATCGTGCGGTCATCGCGGGGTAGTTCACCATACAGACTCCATTAGGAGTGACTCTAGAGGACAGCAGTCTTTCCCAGCAGATTAGAGGAAAGCAAAGCAGTTCCAGCCCAAGGGGTGCAGAGTCTGGGGTGGGTGGGGTGGGGGCAAGCCGGAAAGCTTGCTAATGTGAGGCGCCGTTCAGTGAGGCTGTCTACAGCTTGTTCGTCTCCTAGGATAAATCACCTCTCAAAATGGGTTTCTGGGTCCACAACCTGGGCATTTGACGGCCTGCCCCCTTGCTCTTCAGTCGTCTCGTCTCACACCACAGTTCTGCTCCTTCAGGGAGCTGTTCCCATTAGAAGGCATCTTTCAGAAAAGATTTCAGCTTCCAACGGATGCAGGGAGAACCTGGCCTTCTGAGTCTCTGAGATCTGGAGTCAGAGCCCAGTCTTCAGTACTACCTGTGTGCTCTGGAGAACTAGCTGTGTGCTCGGGAGAAAGCCCCGAATCCTCCAAGCGCTTCCGTTTCCTCATCCATAGAACAGGGTAACAACACTTTCCTTACGGAGCCGTGGGTCCCCAGTCTGGGCCTAATGCGTGTCAGCTCCGAGGTGGGATCTGCTTGACCACCTGTGAAGGGAGTCTTGCTGCTAGGGACGCAGGGGAGAAGGTGGCCACCTTTTCGGGGATCGGGGGTGGGGTGATGAGACCCAAAGAAGGCAGAGGGCGCTGTTCTGCTGCAACTCCCGAAGTCCCAGAGTTCTAAGGAACTGGGAGGGATAGCTGTCTAACTGGAGAAGGGGGGTGTCCCACCTGTGGATCATCAAGTTTGGGGAGAGGAAGAAAATGCTCAGAGTAGCACAGAAGGGGCCAAGAGAAATCAAGAAGGAAAGCAAAAATGGAGACGCAACATGAGAAATCTCTCTAGATGGCCAATTTCCCCTCTCAACAGGTGCAAGGTGCTACTTGGGCAGCTGGGCAGGGTGCCCCCTCTCCCAGGAAGCTGAAGACTGGGGTCTGATCCCTGTGGGCATATGGGCCCTACAGACTATGCAGTTAAAGAAGCCTTGAGCCAATCACCTTCCTCCTCTGGACATCACCATCGGTACAATCAGACTGTGTGTAGGGCACCTCAGATACCACCTGCTCCCTCCCAGGCTCGCCCCTCCTAACAGGCAAGTAGAACTAGGACCCCATGCTAACACAAGAATAGGAGCGGTTACAGCATGGGATGGGTTTGTGGGTATCGAAGGAGGGCACCTGAGATCTGGGAGAAAGAAACTAGAGAAATTAGCAGCAGTGGAGAGACCTAAGGGCTTCCCGGAAGTCCAGCTGGAGCAGAACATCAAAGGCGGCTGGAGTTATCACTGCCCATTAGCGTAGCAACATGCAACCCTGCATACCAACATGACATCAGCAGCTCCCTTCAGCTGCCCCACCTGTGAGCCTGCACTCTCTGTTGCTCCCAAAGGTAGCCTGGTCCAGCAGGATCTGGGGGAGTGACAGTGGGAACACCAAAGGACTCCCCGAATGAAGTTGGCAGTCACATGTTGGGGACTGGACAGGCACCATGGGAGCTTTCACTTTTACATCTGTGCGCTAAGTCCTGGGGCAGCTGCTGACCCCAGTCCGACAGTGTCTCTGCTCTGGACTCCTGCCTCCCTTCCTGTCCGTTCATCTCTCTTCCTCCTCCTCCTCCTCCTCCTCCTCCTCCTCCTCCTCCTCCTCCTTTCTCATTCCTTTGGTCTTTTTTACCCCCAGAGTCTGTGCCTTGTTCAGCCAGGAATCATCTCAGATTTGATACTGCCCTTCAAGAGTTCCTGGGGTCAGTGCACCTCCATCTTGAAGACTGTACTCTTTAGAGACGTGGTCAGGGCTTTCAGGATGGAAGCAGAGCATGTAGACTAGTGGTCTGGGACATGGCTCCTTTGCTGAGAGATCAAGAAGTCCCTCTTTGAGCTCCTTTGTGTCAAGGATGCAAGGTCATTGACACAATCCAGGGCTCAGTCTTGGGGCAGAGGTTCTCAAAGTAGGGACCACTTTGATAACTTCAGCTCAGCATCACACCGGATGTCAGCAGGTACTTCAATTTGGTGTCTGTTTTTCTCTTGTTTGTTTGCTTGCTTGCTTGTTTTGTAATGTCTTCAGAGAGCCTGTTTAACAATTTTTAGAACTTGATGTCTTTATCCAGAACTGCAGGTGGAACCCAAAAACATCATAAAAAAGCCTCTGCTCACACGGTTCCCTCTTCAGCTTTGGTGGACTCATGAGAAAGGAGCCCAGAAGCTGACACTGGAGATGGGAACTGTTGAACGCCTAAGGATGCAATTCTACAGCGAAACACTGGGAAAGGCAGAGGGAGGAGGAGGAGGAGGAGGAGGAGGAGGAGGAGGAAAGAAAGAAAGAAAGAAAGAAAGAAAGAAAGAAAGAAAGAAAGAAAGAAAGAACTAGGTAGGACTTCCTAGTTCTCTACCTCTGGGTAGAGAAGCAACTGGGGGGCTTGGAACTCAGGCACTTGGGCCTCTGGTGGCTGTTGAGGTGGTTGGGGCAGCCAGCTTCCTGTATTCTCATTTTTACCCCGCATCTGAATGAAGGAAAAGGGCTCAAAGTCTATGAGAATGAGATCAGAAGGATACATGATAAGTGACTGGGTTGGGTGGAAGCCCCTTGGGTATCCATTGCTACAGCAGAGAAAGACACATTGTCCTAAGCAGATTCTCCCCTGTTCAAGTATTTCAACCTTACAGCAAAATACCAAGAGAAATAGCAACAGCCTCATACCTACCCCAAGAAAGGGCAGATGCTAACATTGTGCTGCTCTTGCATCTGATTCTGAAAAACAAAACAAAACAAAACAACAACACAACAACAAAGCCTTAAACACTGTTGAAGCCCCCTTTGTGCCCCCTTCTCTCTCCAAATACACAGCCACTATCTTGCAATCAGTGGATATTTTTCTTACACATGTGCTCTCCCCCAAAGTATTCATAAATTACACCTAGCAATACTCTGAGTGCTTTTTATTTTACTTAAGTGATGTCACAGTGACCCTATCTTTTGAGAACTTGCTGTTTTTTGTTGGTTTTTTTTTTAAATCCAGCATTGTGTTTCCAGGCACATGCCTTTTAACTTCTGAACAACTGGACAGTACAAGAAAACCACAGTTCATGCCCTCACCTCCCGTGGTTTGCCACGGTCTGGATACAGTTTGTTCCTTCTGAAACTCATGTTGAAATCTGATTGCCATTGTGTCAGTGGTTTAATCCATTCATGGATTGATACATTAGGCCAAGAATGACTTCCTTATAAAAGTGAGTTCTCACTTGGAGTAATGCATGCTTGTTATTCCAGCTATCGGCTCAGGCAGGAGGACCCTAAGTCTGAAGCCAGCCTTGGCAACTGTCTTAGTCACCATTCTATTGCTGTGAAGACTCCATGGCCAAAGCAACTCCTATAAGAGAAAACATTTAGCTGAGGCCTGGCTTACAGTTTCAGAGGTTTAGTTCAT